AACACTTAGTCAGATAACAGACACCTTACCAAACAAACATTGGTAAGTTGTATCTGATAACTTGGCATATCTCAGCATGGCATGCAGTGTGTCCTTTACAAAGTCTGAAAGCAGACAAGTGGAGGACAAAGGAAGTGGGGTGTGGTGATTGTACACCATATGAAGAAAAAAAACAATCCCACTGGGATAAATAAAGCCTGAAAAATTAGTAATCGCTTAAGACTTGGACAGTTTGAAGTGTCTGCAGGATTCTTCATAATCATCTAACTTTCCTTTCAGTTACCAAATCATGTTTAGGTGATCTTAGGCCCATAAAAGCAATTAAAACAACACAAGGAAGACATAGAAATCTGCGTTGGGTCAGTCGGTGACTCTGTGCCCACTGTGGGCATGTGTGTCTTGCTGTGACCGACTGGGATCTGTGGAATTTGGATGGATTCTTGATGTAGGGAAGTAAAAGAATCGATTTCTGCATGAGCATTTCACACTGAAGAGAGGAAGTCTACATGATCGTGAGCTGGCTCTGATGTTCATTGTGATTTGTGTTAAATTAAAAAGAGGAAGTATTTCACAAAGTATGCAACCAAATCTGGAGGTTTTTAAAGTTTAACCAATCAAATCGATCTCAGTTCTTAAAAGAAGGCCTTAAACTGCTCAGAAAATACTCAGTAACAGTTTTTTGCTGAGAGAAGTTCCACATTCGTTCCCAGGTGTGAATCAGGGATATCTACATGTGGAATGTCTCATCCATGTGTCATTGGGGATTTTCTTTCTTCTTTATTAAACTGTAATATGGGTGAAGGTTCATGTCGCCTTTAGGGGCTAACAACACTTAAAAATGCACACTGCTTTATTTCCTGATGTTGTATAAGAACAAGTTTATGACTCAGATATCAAACGGTAAAGAAAGGCGGGGCAGAATTTCTTCAAGTGGCTGCTTGTTGAATCCTGGAGAACATCTGGGTTATGAATGTGAAACAGTCAGAGTGCTTCAAAGACACTTTTGTATCCACAAAGGTGCAAAAATAAAATCATGATGAATAAAATTATTTCATATATAATTATAATGCACTTAAACCCACCTGCCTGGTGCTCCAAACAGACTAATGTTGGCTTAAATTGGATCTTTTATGCTTTTTCTTATTCTGTGTCACTTTTAAACTTCACGATCATATTAAACATGGCTGGTTTTTAATATCCAAACAGAGGCTCAGGCTCCAGGCTTGTCAAGGTGGTAACCCCTGACCTCTGAAGACTAGATTGCACAGTTGTTATCATTCTGCTGCATGGAAGAGCTGAAGATTTTTATCGAGAAAGTCCAGGAGGGAAAGGATTAACACACCAGGAAGGCATAAGGTTGGAGAGAAGGTTAGAGAAGTAAGGCTGGGATGGTGCAGAGGAGAGGCTGTGGATGAAGGTGGAGCTGCCAGGCAGAAGGAAAAGAGGAAGACCTGAGAGAAGATTCTTGGATGTAGTGAAGGCCACGCAGAGGGTTGGAGGAAGCAGGCGAAAGAAGAGCAGCCCATCAAACAGGGATTTCTTTTCCTGTTTGACTGTTTATGGTAGAGTTTTGCAGGATATCAGATAGATGGAAAACAGAGGGGAGAATGTTGTCAGCAGACAGTTGTGGATGTTTCTGTGAGACTGTGCTAGAAATGGTCATTGGATTTCTTTTTTATGAAATGAGTTAAATGATAAAACAGCATGCACGGTGTCACGGTAGGAGGAGCTTAAGATGTACGAGTGGGGATAGACACTCCTTCCAGAGAGTTCAGAGAGCTTGTTTCCTTAAAAATTTTGTTTTACCCTCAAAACCACCATCTGCCTGGTTTATCTGGTGAACCAGATTGGGGTGGCTGTAGCTCAGGAGGAAGAGCAGGTCAGCTGCTGATCGAAAGGTTGGCTCCCGCAGTTTGCATGCCAAATATCCTTGGGCATGATACTAACCCCGACTTGCTCTCTGATCCATCCATCAGCGTATGAATGATAGTTAGAAAGCACTCAAAGTATAGATAATACTGCGTATGTGAATGGGTGTGTATGGGTGAATGCGGCA